GAAGGTTGAGGCGGAAAGATTGCCGGAGCCCAGCAGGTCGAGGCTGCGGTGGCCAGGAGCAGCCACTGCACTCCAGTCTGGGCGACTGAGTGAGACTCCAACTCAAAAAAAAAAAAAAAAGAAAAGAATTTGTGAGGCCAGGTATCTCACGCCTATAATCCCAGCACTTTGGGAGGCCGAGGTGAGAGGATTACCTTAGCCCAAGGGTTTGAGACCAGCCTGGGCAACTTGGTAAGACATCTCTACAATAAATAAAAAAATAGTCAGGCGTGGTGGCACCTGCCTGTAGTTCCAGCTACTTGGAAGGCTGAGGCAGAAAGATCACCTGAGCCCAGCAGGTCAAGGCTGCAGTAGCCGTGAGCATGCCACTGCACTCCAGCCTGGGTGACAGAAGGAAGAAAGGAAGAAAGGGAGGGAGGGAGGGAGGGAGGGAAGAAATTCAAGAATTTTGTTTACAAAACCTATGTTTTCAGTTCTCAAAACTTTGAAGTTTTGAGAAAAACTTGTGAATGCAAGCTTTTGACAAAAAATGAAGCGTGTACATTGGGAGGGGTCATCTCTTTTGCCTCCTCCCAAAAGACCAATGTGTTCTAGGCCTACAAGCACTGCCATGCTGTATTGAGTCCATGGAACACTAATCCCTTTGTACTTAGTATTTAGAGAAGGAAGGGTTCAGCAAATCAGTCGAATCAAGCCTATGGATTGTTTTTGTATGATTAGTTAACCAACAATAAATCTTATACTCAGATTTGTTAAAAAGGAGTGACAGTGCATATGCAGCCCACAAAGCTTAAAATATTTACTATCTAGGTCCAGACAAGAAAAGGCTGTGACAACATTGTCCAAAAGCTATTATTTATTGACTGGAACATGAAAGATACCCCCTAGAATTGGGCAACAGAATGGCTCTGCCTCCTGCCAGAGAATGCTAAACTGGCTAGATTTACTACAGTCAGTCTTTGCATCACCTTTCCTCTTGAGGGGTTCTACCACCTCTCTGACCACTCCACTCTCTGGTTTCCCTACTACCACTCATTCACATTTGAGAGTTCAGTCCTTAGCCTACTCATCTATGCTGCCCACTTGAGGAATATAAGAAGCACTAAATACAATGGTTAGGAGCCAGCCATAGCCTGCCTTTTGGTGCACTGACCTCCCTTATATCCTAGTTGTGATCTCAGGCAAATCACTTAGCCTCAGTTTCTCCATCTACAAAACGGGTATATGTAATAGTGTTATTCTAATTAGACTAAATGAGAGAAGGCAAAGTGCCCAGCATGTACATAGCCAATATGCTGGCTCTTATCACAGGACTTTATTAAAAAAAATTAAAAATATGCTGGCTCTGATGTTACCTACTACTATACTTTGAACAACCATTTACAAATCACTTGTTTCAAAATCTTTTTTTTTTTTTTTTTTTTTGAGTTAGAGTCTCACTCTGTCACCCAGGTTGGAGCGCAGTGCCATGCTCACGGCCACCGCAGCCTTGACCTGCTGGGCTCAGGTGATCCTTCTGCCTCAGCCTTCCAAGTAGCTGGAACTACAGGCAAGTGCCACCATGCCCGGCTAATTTTTTGATTTATTGTAGAGATGAAGTCTCGCCAAGTTGCCCAGGCTGGTCTGGAACCCATGGGCTCAAGCAATCCTCTCACCTCAGTCTCCCAAGGTACTAGGATTATAGGATTATAGCTTCAAAATCTTTATCTTTCTTCCCTTTTTCTCTGACAGATTAATAGTTGTGCCCCTCTCCTTTCTTTTAGTAATAAAATGGAGCTGGGCATGATGATTCACACCTATAATCCTAGTGATTTGGGAGGATCGCTTGAGGCCAAGAATTTGGGACTAGCCTGAAGAACATAGCAAGACATGCCTCTATTAAAAAACAAAGAACAAAAACAAAAAAAAAAACCCTCCACTACAACAACAAAAAGCCAAAATTTTCTTAAAGCCCCAAGTTTAAATGAACACATAACCAGTAAGCTAGAAGCATTTTGGTCTCCTCTACAGGTGCTAAGAATGTGAGACTAAGTTCTGGCCAATGAGATCAGTTCAGTTTCCAGGCTTTCTGCTTCCTCATTCCCATGGGCTTGAACAAGGATGTGGGGCTGGTGAGTCAGATGAATCACTGGACAAGGACAACAACCTTGGGGATGGAGGAACAACATGACGGTGGGACCTGGGGTGGCTAAATGATCTTGTGAAACAGCTGTTGCCTAACCCCAAGCCTGGACCTCTCACCAACCTTTGAAATGCCACATGAGGAATAAACTCTTTTGTTTGAATCACTGTTTTGGGGTCCTCTTGTTATAGCAGCTTAGCATATAGTCTAACCACTGCATGGTCCAACCCACCCCCCGCCTTTTTTTGAGTTGGTGTCTCACTCTGTTGTCCAGGCTGGAGTGCAGAGGCATACTCACGGTCATGGCAGCCTTGACCTACTGGGCTCAGGCAATCTTCTGTCTCAGCCTTCCAAGTAGCTGGAACTAGACACATACCACCATGCCCAGCTAATTTTCTGATTTATTGTAGAGATGAGGTCTTGCCAAGTTGCCCAGGCTGGTCTCGAAATTGTGGGCTCAGGTAATCCTCTCGCCTCAGCCTCCCAAAGTGCTGGGATTATAGGCGTGAGCCACCACACCCGGTGACATCCCAAACTCCTATCTCCAGCCTCATTATGTCCACCCTGCATACGTGCTATTCTTATACTCCTGAGCACAAATAATATTCCAGCTATTTCTTGGTAACTATTCTGTTTATCTTCCAGTCAGAAGAATCTGTAATTCTTGACTCTTTCCACTCCTAGATTCAACTGGTCACAGAAGCCCCATAGATTGATACATACATACCTCTTCAATTCTTCCCCCACTTCTGATACCAACTACACTGACTTTAGATGCTTTTTGCTTTCTAGAGGGCTCCCTGCCTTCAATTTCTTACTTTACAATGCTGCTTTACTTTCTTTTCTTTCTTCCTCCCTCCCTTTCTTTTTTCAGTTGGAGTCTCACTCTGTTGCTTAGGCTAGAGTGCAGTGGAATGCTCAAGGCCACCGCAGCCTTGACCTGCAAGACTTAGGCAATCCTTCCACCTCAGCCTTCCAAGTAGCTGGAACTACAGGCATGCGCCACCATGCCCATTTAATTTTTTGATTTACTGTAAAGAGCATGTCTCATCATGTTGCACAGGCTGGTCTTGAACCTGTGGGCTCAGGCAATCTTCTCGCCTCCACCTCCCGAAGTGCTGGGATTACAGATGTGAGCCACTGTACCTTTTTTTTTTTTTAAGAGATGGATTCTTGCTCTGTGACCCAGGCTGCAATACCATGGCATGATTATAGCTCACTGCAGCCTCAAATTCCTGGGCTTAAGTGATCCTCCTACCTCAGCCTCCCAAATAGCTGGGACTACAGGTGCATGCTACCACACCCAGCTAATTTTATTTTCTGTAGAGACAAGGTCTCACTATGTTGCCTAGGCTGGTCTTGAACTCCTGGCATCAAGTAATTAGTCCTCCTGCCTGAGCCTCCAAAAGTGCTGGGATTGCGGTGTGAGCCACAAAGCCTGGACTATTATCTTTCTTAAAATTAGAACCATTGCCAGGCATGGTGGCTCACGCCTATAATCCCAGCACTTTGGGAGGCTAGGGTAGAAAGATCACCTGAGCCCAGTAGGTTGAGGCTGCAGTGGCTGTAAGTGTGCCACTGCCCTCCAGTCTACTAGACAGAGTGAGATTCTGATTCAAAAAACAAAAACTGAAACAAAACAATTGGATCCATTCATGTTATTTTGTCTACAAGAGGTCAAAGCATTTATTCATTTATTTTTGAGTCGGAGACTCACTCTGTCATCAAGGCTGGAGTACAGTGGCACGATCACAGTCACCGTGGCCTCGACCTGCTTGGCTCAGGCGACCCTTCCACCTCAGCCTTCCAAGTAGCTGGAGCCACAGGCATGCACTACCACACCCTGCTAATTTTTTGATTTACTGTAGAGATGAAGTCTCGCCATGTTTCCTGGGTGGTCTTGAGCCCCTGAGTTCAGGTAATCCTCTTGTCTCTGCCTCATTGTTCTGGGACTACAGGTATGAACTAGCGTGCCCGGCAGCTCAAAGCATTTAAGGACTTCATGAGATGGCCCTAGGTATCTCACCTCAAGGGTACCTCCTGCACATACTCCACGTACACTTTACACCAACCATACTACTCTTGCTCTCCAATCCTTTGCACTTGCTCCTTTTTCCTCTGCCTAAATAAATGCTTCTCAAATGTGATAAAGGGTAATTTTTAAAATTTCCAATCTAGGTCAGGAGCAATGACACATGCCTACAGTCCCAGCTACTCGGAGCACTGAGGCAGGAACACTGCTGGAGCCCAGGAGTTTGAGGCCAGCCTAGGCAACATAGTGAGACCCTATCTCTTTTTTTTAAAAAAAATGCCAGCCGGGTGTGGTGGCTGATGCCTATAATCCAAGTACTTTGGCAGCCGGAGGTGAGAGATCAGTTGAGGCCAGGAGTTCAAGACTAGCCTGGGCAACAGAGTAAGACTCACATACAAATTATACAAATTATTAGAAAACTACCTCATGCTTAAATGTCACAGCAATGGCCAAGTTTCTCAATGCTTCCTAATTATGGTACCTGTTTTGTCAAAAGCAGATTAACAGTGGATCCACATTGGTCTATAGACCATACTTCACACTGGTCTAGACTAACTCTCCCTTTTCCCTACGTGGTGAACTCTCAAGGTCCAACCATTACACATTCCCTAAGGTTATACCCCACTGTCACATCCTCAAAATATTCACCACCTTTTTTCATGCCCATTATACCTTATATTATTATACAATTTCCTGTCAAATGTCAAAGAACAGTGAGCTCTTTGAGGACAGGGATGTGTAGAATTCATCTCTGCATCCCAAGCCTTGTGTCTGTCATGTGGCAGAAGCTCAGAAACATAATCAGCAAATGAATAGGTACAACACATCACTGTGGCAACATGCAAATCAGGAACTAAAACAACTTTAAATAGACCTTTTAATGACTTGTGGTTTAGGACTTAAAGGTTGAATGGTCTTGGCCACAGGGAAAGAAGGGGAGAGCTCAGTAGGCTGTCTGAGACTGCTGCTGGCGGTAGCCACCGCGGCGCATGTAGCCCTCGTTTTTGCGGTAGCCATCCTTCTGGTCTATAGGAGAGATGGGAAGGAAGGGGAGGAGGTAGTGAGTGCCAGGGGAGAGGCAATAAGGGGGCCAGGTTCCTGGGAGAGTAGAGGAGATGGAACCACTTACCTCGGAAGTAGCCACCATAGGTGCCCTGCTTGTGGTCAAATACCCGCTCATTATTCTCCACCAGGCTGCCCAGTTTCTCGGCCAGCTGCAGAGCCAGGTTCTGCTGGGCAGTGGGCTCGGTACGGTGCATCACCACTGTCTGCGTTGGTTGGTCCAGGGAGGCCTGACAGTAGCAAGGCAGAGGAACGGACATGACAGATCAGACTCCTCCATTCCTATCTCTCCTCGACTCCACCTGCCCCTTTACCACCCTTGGCCCTCACCATCAACTCCTCATTAATGATCATCTTGCTGATGATGGAGTGTACAGTGGGCAGATCCAGCTCAAACATGTCTGCCAGAGTTTCCATGCTGGGGAGAAGAAGGGCAGAAAGCAGAGGGCAGTTAGGACCCTTGACCACAAAGCTGGGGACCCTGTGTCCCTAGGGCCCGTTCTACCTGATAGAGTCATAGACACTGCTGTAGGTGAAGAGGTAGGTCCTCAGTGACTCTTCCTGGATCTTCCTGTGGGAAGAGGGGAAAGACAGAGAAGTCCTCAGTGAAGGAGACCAATCAGTCTTTTCTCCCCCCACCTATCACGGCCTCCCTCACTGCTCACCTAACCAGCATGGTGCGGACTTTGTCTGCTTCAGGGAAAAGATCCCACACCTTTCCATTCATCTTCTCATTGATGATAAAACTGTGGCAGGTCTTCCAGTCGCCCATCTTCATGGCCTTAGAGGCAGCAACCACATGTTCCCTCATTGACTCGGGGGGACCTGAAAGGGTGGGAATGAGGCGGGACCTAGGATACTTGGGACCAGGGCTCCTGCCCTATTTCCACTGTTCAAGGAGAACAGAGGTCAAAAGAGCAAACAACCAGACTAGCAAGTATCCCAGCTCTCTATCAGATAGCCATGTGATTGTACAGTCACTGAATATCTGAATACGTTTATTCAGGTTTGGACTAAAATTGTCCATACATGTGCTTCAGGGGACTGGTGGGCCCCTTGAAAATATTGACAAATTGTATATCTCATCTTCACCTCTACCTTCCTAGGAAAAGGGGTCCATAGCTTTCATCAGATTCTCATAAGGTTCCTTCACCGAAACTCAAGACTCTACCATCTCAACTGAAATGGTATTTACCACAAACTCTCTTCATTCTCACATCACCTTCATGATCTGTGCCATCCACATAACATTTACACTGTTAGCAGTTTATTATTTCTCAAAAGGGTTCACTTGTTTTCCTTACAAAATTTAGCCTGTCAAAGTCGAAATTATCTCTGAGAAATCACAGGTTTTATGTGCTGATTATGGCCCCCAAATACTTGTCTCCTAAGAAATAAGTCAGGAAGATAAGACATGGCAAGCAAGAGTATCTGGGATTCAGAACAGAGAAAGTACAAAAGATCTAAGACTGGAAATGGGTGATAGGTGTAGAGAAACATGAACATAGCAGACTCTGCAATAGGCATAGTCAGCTCAAATGCACACATGGATCAGGACCAAATGGAAACGTATGAACAGGGCTAAGTGTTAAGAGAAAAGCACACAACCCTCTTGGATTAACCTCCATATTAACACTTTTGAAAGAGGCAATGTTAGAGGCTCAAAGGATATTTCTCTACAAACCAAACAATAGTATAAGGCAGAAACTGGCTTTTGACCCCCTGTAGGGAGACACAGAGAGAGGTGGGAACTGTGTTGAACCAGAGAACCCTTCTCCACAGCTGCTACGTCACTTCTAGCCAAGGCCCTCTGCGGAAAGGCAGGCCCAGGGTTGCCAGATCTACCACAATTCTAAGACACATGGAAATTCAGGTTTTCATTGGAAATTTCCCCACAAAATACCAGCCAGGTGCAGTGGCTCATGCCTATAATCCCAGAATTTTGGGAGGCTGAGGTAAGAGGATTGCCTGAGCCCACCAGTTCAATACCAAGTCTGGGCAACTTGGCGAGACCTCATCTCTACAATTAAAAAAAAAACAAAAAAAACCATTATGTAAGCCGAACACAATTTGCCTATACACACAACCAGTAGAGGACTAATTTGTAAATCTGTAGCAGGACATGGCTATGGGCAGTAAGCTTGGCTCGCTCATCAAGTCCTCCCAGGCACCAACCTCACAGAAAGGGCATGATTCAAATTCCTTTCCCAGTGAATTGCAACTCATTTAACTTCTGCCTAATCAGGTCTTTCAGAAGTAATCAAAGGGGCCAATATTAGATTCTTGAATGATAAGGCTCAGTTGGCTTCATTATAATTGGTTTGGCTGGAATATAATGTGCATGGAGAGACGTAGAAACAAAAGGTTAGAGGCACATATCCTCTGCACTACACTTCAGCAAGTCACTTAACATCTCTGTGCCTCAGTTTCTTTATTAAGAAAAAGAGGATATCAATGGTATCTACATCACAGGGTCATGACGAATGCAGACTAAATGAATTATCATTTGTAAGACACTTAGAAAAGTACTAGGCAGGCTGGGCTCGGTGGCTCAGCCTGTAATTCCAGTGCTTTGGGAGGCCGAGGTGAGTGGATTGCCTGAGCCTGCGGGTTCGAGACCCGCCTGGGCAACTTGGTGAGACCTCATCTCTACAATAAATCAAAAATTAGCTCGGCATGGTAGCGCACGCCTGTAGCTCCAGCTACTTGGAAGGCTGAGGCGGAAGGATCACTGGAGCCCAGCAGGTCGAGGCTGCAGTGGCCAGGAGTGTGCCACTGTACTCCAGTCTGGGTGACAGAGTGAGACTCCAAAAAAAAGAAAAGTACTAGACAGAAGGTTTCCTGAAATCAAATGGAATCACCTGGTGGGAGAGTTGTTCCCCTTGATTTCTCTTAAGGCTTCAATGCGATCAAGCAGTAATGCCACACTACAGAGCCCTACACTCACCCAGCAAGGGCTGGCGCTCGCCCACGCGCAGCTGGTGATGGAACTGCTTGCTGATCATGCGTCGGCGAGCATCACTTTCATGGGCTGCCATGTAGGGGATCTCCAGGAGCATGGCAGACACCAGGTAGACACACTCCAGCAACTCCAGGTTGATGTGCAGGTGGAAGGGTACCTGCCGGCGCCGTTCCACCTTTTCCTGCTCCTGGTTGCGCTCCTGCAGGCTGCGCAGCAGCAGACCCTGGCCCAGAAGTTCCTTGGCCCGGCCGCTTGACTGGATGTCCAGCAGGGCATTGTGTGCATCCTTGGTCAGGCCTTGGCGGAAGGCACAGATGCCTAGCTGCACCATGGTGCGGTTGTACAGGATCTGAGGGCAAAAGAGACAACGGCCAGAAGGCAAGTCATTTATTTATTCAACAAACATACTTCTAGCACTAGGCTATGGGCTGGGGACAGAAAACAAAACAGACAAGTCCCTGTCCTCCATGAGGCTATGTTCTAGGGTGGGGAATGGAGGGTAAAAGAACCACACTATGTAGACACACATACTCTCTGATACACAGAGGCGGGGAGTTAGGAAGGGAGTTTGAGTGGTGGCGGCTCAAAATTCTACTTAACTAGGGAAGGCCTCATTTTGAAGAAATGTTTGAATAAAGACCTAAAGAAGAGCGAGCAAATCATCCATGTATCTGGGGGAAAAGTAACATTCTAGAAAAAGGAAAAAGAGACACAAAATTACTGTGGAATATTCAAGGAATAGAGAGGGCGATGTGGCTAGGACTAGTAAAAGATGCCATCATAAGCTGAGGGATGGGCAAGTATTGTTTTGAAAATTTTTTAAAAACATTTCTTTTTAAAAATTATTATTTTTTCTAAGTTGGAATCTCATGCCGTCGTCCGGGCTGGAGTGCAGTGGAATGCTCATGGCCACCCTAGTGTCGACCAGCTGGGCACTAGTGATTCTTCCGCCTCAGCCTTCCAAGTAGCCAGAACTACAGGCATGCGCTACCATGCCCAGCTAATTTTTGATTTATTGTAGAGACGAGGTCTCGCCAAGTTGCCCGGGCTGGTCCTGAACCTGCGGGTTCAGGCATCTACTCGCCCCGGCCTCCCAAAGTGCTGGAATTACAGGCTGAGGCACCAAGCCCGGCCAAATACCACTTCTAACTTCTCTGCTACAGCCAGTAACAAAAGGCATAAAGTAAACTAACATCCCCACCCCCACCCTCTCCCAAAAAGAACAGCACAAAAGGGCCTGGCTCACACTTGTAATCCCAGACAGAGATAAGAGGATTGCCTGAGCCCGTGGGTTCAAGACCAGCTCAGGCAACTTGGCGAGACCTTGCTGCGTGTAGTGAACATGCCTATAGTTCCAACTACTTGGAAGGCTAAGGTGGAAGGATTGTCTGAGCTCAGCTGGTCGAGGATGCAATAGTCTGAGCGTGCCACTGCACTCAAGTCTGGGCAACAGAGTGAGGCTTTGGCAAAAACAATGATGATGATGATATAATAAGAATAGCACAAAATTACTGAAGGGACACAAAGACAGAAGCAAAGAGAAATCAGAATGTGATAGTGGCTTAGACCAGAGGGTAAAGGTGGAAGTGACAGAAGTGGTCAGCTACTTCTGGTCCCTATGGTTGGGGAATCAAATGCAGTATGTGAGACAAGAGTAAGAATAAAAAATGATTCCAAGGCTTCTGGTCTAAGCAACTGAGACGATGAACTTATCACTAATTAAGATAGAGAAAACTGTAAATAGTACAAATTTGGGGGGAAGATTAAGTCTATCAACAAAAACAAAAATATAGAGATCAACACCAGTCATGAGCAGAGGTGCTAAGAGCCTTAGAAAATATTAGCAAATAGAATCTAGCAATATATAAACGAGACATTATATATCCAAACAAGATATATCTCAGGAATAAAAGGTTGGTATAAAAATGAAATAAACTTAGTCAGGCGTGGTGGTTCAAGCCTGGGGTTTGGGACCAGCCTGGGCAACTTGGTAAGACCTTGTCTCTACAATTAAAAAAAAAAAGAAACTAGCTGGGTGTGATGGCATGCACCTGTAGTTCCAGTTACTTGGAAGGCTGAGGCAGAAGGATTGCCTGAGTCCAGCAGGTTGAGGCTGTGATGGCCACAAGTGTGCCACTGCATTCCAGCCTGGGGGACACGAGTGAGACTCTGACTCAAGGAAAAAAATAAGTAATAGACCGGGCTCAGTGGCTCAGCCTGTAATCCTGCGCCTTTGGGAGGCTGAGGTGAGCGGATTGCCTGAGCCTGCAGGTTCGAGACCCGCCTGGGCAACTTGGTGAGACCTCATCTCTACAATAAATCAAAATGAGCTGGGCGTGGTAGCGCGTGCCTGTAGTTCCAGCTACTTGGAAAGCTGAGGCGGAAGAAGCCCAGCAGGTCGAGGCTGCGGTGGCCGGGAGCAGCCACTGCACTCCAGTCTGGGTGACAGAATAAGACTCCAACTCAAAAAAAAAAAAAAAAAAAAAAAGTAATAAACTCATGGTTATTCATTACATGAAAGAATAAAAGAGAAACCTGTATCATTTCAATCGGTGGAGAAGCATTTGACAAAATTCAAGACTTGTTTATGACAGAAATTCTCAGTCAACTACAATCAGAAGAGAACTTTCCCCCATCTGAGGAAGGGTATCTACCCCAGGGTTCAGACTGGGAACAAGGCAAGCTGTCTAATCTCACTACTCCTATTCAGTACTATCTTGGGAGAGTTGACTCATTACAATAAGAAAGAGAAATAAACAAAAAAGAAAATAAAGATCAAAATAGCAACCAAACTGTCTCTATACACAGATGACATGATTTTTTCTTTCTTTTTTTAAATTTACCACCGCACTCCAGTCTGGGCGACAGAGTGAGACTCCAACTCAAAAAAAAAAAAAATAAGAAATTCAATTTTTTATTTTTATTTTATTTTTATTTATTTTTATTTTTTGAGTTGGATTCTCACTCTATCATCCAGACTGGAGTGCAGTGGCTGCTCCTGGCCACTGCAGCCTCGACCTGCTGGGCTCCAGCGATCCTTCCGCCTCAGCCTTCCAAGTAGCTGGAACTACAGGCGTGCGCTACCACGCCCGGCTGATTTTTTATTTATTGTAGAGATGAGGTCTTGCCAAGTTGCCCAGGCAGGTCTTGAACCCGCGGGCTCAGGCAATCCACTCGCCTCAGCCTCCCAAAGGCGCAGGATTACAGGCTGAGCCACCGAGCCCGGCTAAGAAATTCAATTTTTTAAATGGGCCAAGAGTTGACCAGGCATTTCATGAAACAAAATATATAAATGGGCAATAAACATGAAAAAAAAAAAAAAGGAGAAGGACAAATCGTGCTGTCTAAAAACCACCACCACCATCAGACAGGTTCACCAAAATGTTTTATGCGTATATATTTCCTGATTGTCTTGAATACACACTTACAGGATCTACCTCTATATGAAAAGGTCCAGCCGGGCTCGGTGGCTCAGCCTGTAATCCCACGCCTTGGGAGGCTGAGGTGAGTGGAATGCCTGAACCTGCGGGTTCGTGACCCACCTAGGCAACTCGGCGAGACCTCATCTCTACAATAAATCAAAAAATTATCCGGGTGTGGTAGCACATGCCTGTAGTTCCAGCTACTTGGAAGGCTGAGGCGGAAGGATTGCTGGAGTCCAGCAGGTCAAGGTTGTGGTGGCCGGGAGAGGCCACTGCACTCCAGTCTGGGTGACAGTGAGACTCCAACTCAAAAAAAAAGAAAAGGTCCTCAGATACCACCATACACAAAATTAGCTGCATTAAACTGTTAAACTTGGGCAAGTCACTCTTCATCAGGAAAAAAAGGGTATTAATGGTTCCTACATTATGTATGTATTGGGATGTGTTAAGTTCCAAAGTATCACATTGCATTCGGGCCTCTATCTTTCCTCTTAGGAAAGGCCCACTATTTTGGTTTTTTTTTTTTTTTTTTTTTTTTGAGTCAGAGTCTCACTCTGTTCCATAGGCATGCTCATGGTAACTTCCAGCCTCGACCTACTACTGGGTTCAGACAATCCTTCCGCCTCAGCCCTGCAAGTAGATGGAACTATAGGTGCATACTATCACACCCAGCTAATTATTTGTTTATTTATTTATTGTAGAGACAAGGTTTCATTATGTTGGCCAGGCTGGTCTCGAACCCGTGGACTTAGGCAGTCCTCTCATCTCTGCCTCCCAAAATGTTGGAATTATAGGCATGAGCCACTGCACCCAGCCTGGAAAGGCCCTCTTAATAGACTTTTTTCACCTTTCTAAGTAAGACGATTGCCTAATGTCCCGAACCAGATACACAGTAGTATAACAAATGTTCGCTGAACCCAAATCTGTCTATTCCAGAGGAATCCAATGTTGCTGGGACAGTACAAAATGTGTTAACATGCAGGAGAATCACAGAATACTGGAAAAAACCAAGCATTTACTTAAATTTGCACCAGCCAGACAGGTGGCTATTCTGGTTAAGCCAGTTTGCCCAGAGGACAAGGACCTGGCCTCTCCTTCACCACCAACACTAGAAGGCCTACTCATCCTACCTGCACTGGTGGGTCTGCATGCTGAATGTTGTCTTGTAGGTGGCTCATGAGCATGAGGTCACGGGCCTGGTACCAGCGGGAGTGCAGTGCATGATGGTAGATGTGGCACAGGATGGTGCACGTGCGGATTCGGTCTGTGCGGTCCTTGGCATAGATGTACTTGCACAGTCTTTCCATCAGCACAGCTGAGTCCTCACCCTCATTTTCTGCCTGGTCTTGCTCTGACTGGGGAAGGAAGGGAGCTTGTTCAAGGATATCCAGCAAAGACATTGGCTTTGGATGGCTCAACTTCTAGCAACTGAAGATGAGCCTCTACCCAGCCTCACCTTAATCCCTCAGATTCCTTCCCTGCTCTACTTCAGGAAGATCCTAGGGAATAGCAGACTTGCCATCGAGTCCTGACAGATGCGTAGGGTAGATTAACACACTCCTCTCCCCTTGACACACCACCACACACTCACCTTTGAGGAGCCCTCAGGAGGGGTAAGCTGCCGCTGATGGGCCTTGTAATCAAACTTGTAATAGGTGTGGAGGATGCGCCTCAGGTAGATGCGGCAGATCTCCTCAGTGGTGCCTTTCTCCTCCAGGTAGCGCTGCACGCGCCCAATGATGGCACACACCTGTGCCTCATCCTTCAGGTGTTCCACATACTCTGGAGGGACAGTACCCACTCACGCTTCAGCTGGGCATCCAGGCTTTTCCAACCAAATGTCCCTACTCAATTTACTCAATCAAGTTACCCTGTTTATTTTCTGCACCTATCAGAAGAGTCTACTCATGTGCTTGAAAACACCAACCTCTCCTATCCTACAGTACAGAGAAAAATCCCAACTAGCTACCTCTGCCAGTAAGGGCCTGCAAGGTGTAGTTCTTGCCTTACTGTGCTTAAACACAGGCCTTTTTATTCCTGGAACATTCCAAGCTCACTTTCTGTTCCTTCTGTCGAGTGCTCTCTTCTGCCAATTCTTCCCCTGATTAATTCCTCATCAGATCTCACCCCAGATGGCCCCAACTAAAGATGCTTTCTTCAGCTATTAGCTAAAGCAGTCACCCACCAATCACTTTCTACCAGAGGGTCCTATTTCAACTTCTAATCCACACTTTACATCATCTAAAATTATCTTGTTTGTTATCTTGATATTATTATTTGTTGACCCGAATTTCTTCCGTAGAAGGTAAGTTCCATGACTTCTAGATCTTTGGCTGCCTTGTTCATTTCTATACCCTTGACTCGGTTGGCATGTTCACATTTTCACTGAGTAAATTATCCTGCACTGTTCTGTCCCAGTGCCTCTGATCCAAGTTAAACGAGCCAAGATGCCTTACCCCAGTGGTTCTCAACGTATAGCTCCCAGACCAGCAACATCACTAGGGAGCATGTTAGAAATGCAAATTCTCAGGCCCCACCTAGACCTACTGAATCAGAAACTATGGGAGTGGGGCCCAGCCTCTTAACAAGTCCTTTCGTATGAATGTAGGGGTAAAGGACTACCTTTCCAAAAGCTCTAATTTAGTGTAACTTAAACTGACAAAACTCTAAAGTGACTATTATTCCCTGCACCTTTCTTCTCACCAAGGTCCACGATTTTTCAGGCTCAGGCTCACCTTGGGAGTGAGGATCAGTATTTTGCATTATTTTTGTAAATTCTTCATCCATTCGTTCCACTAGAGTTAGGATACAGCCACGGACACGCAGTGGCTGGAAAGGAAGGCAAAGGAGGACTAAATAAATGAGCCCGGATCTCAGTCTCAAACCTCAACCCTTCTATCTCCACGGAGCCTTCCCAGAGCATATGGCATATGTCTCCAGTTATCCTGCCAATTCCTCCGTTTACCTGATCAACATTCTGCAGGTTCTCGCTCTCTTCCAGAATGTTCTCCCCAACAAAGATGTTGGGGTTTGCAAATAGGATGTCTATCAGTTCATTGATGCAGTCCAGGCACTTCTGCCACATCTCCGGCTACCAAGAGATAAGACAGCAGGGTCAGAGGTATGAGGATAGAATAAGTGGATGCCTTGCAAGGGTCCCCCTCAACCAGTAATCATGGGGCCTTCAACTACCAAGACTGATCCCTTATTTCTTGAGTATTAAAATACTAGACACCTTCTTTGCCTGGTCCAAATGCTATGCTCTGAAATGCTCTCACCTTCATGTATGTTGCCAGATTGGGGTTGTAGTCATAGAGAGATGCAATGATATTGAACTTGATCTTCACAATGATGCCTTCCCCCAGGTTGTTTTCAGCAGCAATCTGAACCAGCAATTGTAGCAACTCAATCTGGGCAGCACTGGAGGGGTACAGAACTCGGTAATACTTTGGAGACAAATCTAAGTCTCATCCTATCATACAGGATGCCCTCTTCAGACAAGCAAGGCAACCCATTCCTGATACTCTGATACACTATCACCATCTGTGTACCTGCTTCTGCTTTACGAATTCCAAACACACAGCAATAATACTACTAATCCTGGAATGATGCAAAATGCTTTTATATCCAACATCATTATCTTGTCACCTGATAACTCAAGGTGAGTATTATTCCCATTTTACAAGTGGGAAAACACTTTCAAAAGGCTGAGTGAGCCGGGCTCGGTGGCTCAGCCTGTAATCCCGCGCCTTTGGGAGGCTGAGGTGAGTGGACTGCCTGAGCCCGCGGGTTC